TCATCAAACAGGCATTCTTCAAAACCAACCAAACTGCTTAAGATAAGGAAAATAAAGGAATCGCCATCATCATCATCATCATCATCATCCAGAGTTCAACTTACAGATGGAGGGTTGTAGAAATCTAGTTCTTGCGGGTGCAAAAGGGAAGCAAGGCAAAGCGTCAGACACATGAATCTTGATTTTTTCCCTCTTGGCGAAATGAAGAGCACTCCGGAAAGCCAATGCCTGCAGCATTTCTGCAACTCGATCAGCACAAATCCAGCGTTAATGGAGGAACCGTGTGCTGCTAGCTATTAGAAATTCTTGCGCGGAGTCGGAGAAGAGAAGCAGCTAAGGATAGTGGCTCCAGATTCTCTTAGCCTTCACTGTTTCTAAAGATTGCTCATCATGTTTCAATATGCGTCTCTCAGAGTAATCAGAGCAACTGACTTATCTCCAGGAAAAAGTGATTACATGTACCCACAATAACATGTACCACATTTGTACACCACAGTTTTGCACAAACACTTTGATGGTTTACACCGACACAAGTGTTGGTGCGTTAACAAAAATTTACACGGACACAAATGTTGGTGCGTTAAAACAAAATTAGTTTTACACCAACACAAAATGTTGGTGCAAAACTGCGGGGTACAAATTGGGATATATATCTTGGGGTACCCATAGCATAATCCGTGATTACATTCACTAATTTTGCTCCCTCAAATATGCAGAAAATTGCAGGCACCCAGTTTTGAGGTAAGACATATTCTGACTTTTTAAAAATATATTATGGGAATACTTATTTATCAAACAAATGTTCAATTGGAGATTTGAACTCATGACCTCTTCGTCATTAAATTTTTTATTAAGAAATTAATTCAATCAAAAGCTTAAACTTGTGATTAAAACCTCAAGATAAATTTTATACTCTAACACCGTTTACTTAAAAAGTCAATTGTTACAGTATTCTACATCAATTCAATTGAAACACCTACCATACTACGTAAAATTTATTAAATAAGTCGGGAGTTAAAATTACATGAACTCATTGTTACACCAATGACGATATTAATTCAATTGAGACACTATTGTATTCCGTAAAATGGAGAGTTCTTATTCATTAGTCCACCCTTTAAAGCTCACCTTACACTCCACCTCTGCCCCCTCCTCCTTAAACTCTAATTAGGTAAGATTTTCTACCAAATTGGCGATTAAGGGAGAAAGGAGGGAAAGAGAGCTAAGGTGGAGTTAGGGGTTAGCGTGGAGGGTTTAGGGGGTAGTTAGAGAGGTAGATTTGTCAATTTTACGAAATAAGCACTTTGGATATCCCAATTGAACTAGTATCGTCATGTTACACCATCTGGAGTGGTATAACTTTAACTTTTGTCAGTAAATAATTAGGCAAAATAAGTAACTAAAGAGGTAGGTTAAAGTTACACTAACACTTTAATTATTATTTTTATGATACCAATTTAATTAGAGCATATACGGTGTACCGTTCGTCAAATTGATAATTCTTATCTATTTTATTCACACATTAAATACCCCATTCCGGCCTTGCCCCTTATCCCTTTAAAGTTTAAACCCTAATTTGACAGAATATTCAGCCAAAATGGGGATAAAGGAAGGGGGCAAGAGGGTGACTGGGATGAGGTGTAGGGAGCTAGGTTGGTGGGCATGGCGTTGAAGACTAAATTAAAAGTGATTTTATCCTTTCTCATGAAGAAAACATTCTTGAGTATACTTTTTTGTTCAAGAATGAACTGACCATTTTAATTTTTTAGAGTTTTAAAGGAGAGTTTTGAAGTTTGACTATTTATGCTTTATAAGATTGAGAACACACACACATATATACATAACATCGTTAAAAAGGTATTAGTATTAAAAAATTGTGATTATTTAGCTTCTCATCCATTCAGATTATTGCGTATTTAAGATTTTACTTTGATTTTAAAAAAATATTAAATTAATTGATTAAACTTAATGCAAACAAAAATTGCTGGAAGTCATACTAAACTGTGCGTCGTTGTAGTATAGTGGTAAGTATTCCCGCCTGTCACGCGGGTGACCCGGGTTCGATCCCCGGCAACGGCGTTTTTTTGAAATTTTTCCACCTCTTTATTATTGTTCAGCTCTGTACTCCGTTTTGGCGTAATTAAGCATGCCCGTGGTGCTTGCCTACAGCTACAGCCTACCTACGAAAAGTAATTAACTAATGACATTTATTTCTTAATCACTGATTAAATTCAAGCAATATAAATTCATAATCAACTAAATTTTTACTCCGTAGTATTTATTCATACTGTTCTTAAAATATTTTTTTAAAATACTCCATTTATGTAATAGAGTGAATAATATTGAAAAAATGTAGATTACGGAGTAATATTACTCTCTAAACATTTTTGAACGAAAACATTGGCGTGACATCTATTGGCCTATTTGAGAATAACGTTAACGATTAGCGTTACGTTTTGAAAAGGCTATCTACGCGCAGCGTTTAACGTTTTCAAAGTAATCTGCACCGTTAAAATTTTATCTAAAATGTTAATGCTAATCTTTAAAGCTATTTCCAAACAGGCTTTATATCACTCATCCCAGTTTAATTTTAAATAGTTTAAATTCATAAAATTTAAAGAAAATATTACATATTACAAAGTGAGTTAAAATTTGAAATTAACACTAAAAAAGATTAGTTAAAATTTATATTAAGGATAAACAAGAACTGTGCACCATATATTTTAAATATATTTAAGAAAGTAAATACGGAGTAAATAGCAAGTACAATAATTCTTTAGGGACATTCCAAGAAGGAAAGAATCCAAAATTACTCGATATGGAAAGTACTTAGAGGGCGATTGGCATGTGCTAAAGAGCAATTTTTGAGCTTCCACTCGGTATAAAAATAAATTTTTGTGTTTGAAACATCTATCTTTGCTTATAACGCATGACTTCAGAATGTAAAACGACTCCAAGTGTTTTTTGGCAAAGTTGAGATTAAGAGCTTGTTCTTTAGGGCTTGAACTCTTAACTTCCAGTTTCTTTCAGTATTTTTCAGTTTCTTCCAGTTTCTTCCAGTTCTTCCAGTTCCTTCCAGTTTCTTCCAGTTCCTTCCATTTTCTTCAACTTTCTTCCAGTTTTTTCCAGTTTCTTCCAGTTCCTTTCAGTTTCTTTCAGTTTCTTCCAACTTTTTCTCATTTTCTTCAAATTCTTTCTACTCCTTAACCAATTACTCTAAAAATGATATATTTTAATGTGATTATTATTATTATTATTATTATTATTATTATTACAACTATTATATTCATATCTATAGTTTATAAATTATTTTTTTCATCTCACTATTTTTACGATTCACACTTATTATTTTTTTCAGCTTTTTAATATGAATAAGACATTTTTTTGTATATTAGTCTACATGATAAAACAGGAAAACATCAATATGTTAAATTATACTAAAAAAATTATGGATAAAATAGTTACATTGAATATTTTATTAATATAACTTTTTATAAGACATCTCAGTTTTCCCTTTATTACTTAAAAATTGTTCATTTTTCTTTTTTTTTTATAAAAAAAATTGTAAGTTAAAAGAGCTTAGAGAAAAAGACTAAAATATGAGTGAAACATAAAAAATATAAACAAAAAAATTCTATTTCTTTATTCCAATAATAGGAATTCAATGAAATTAAAATGTCGATCATGAAAGAAACAATTGGTTTGATTATGTGACATATATGATATTTAAAACAAAATGTTTTAATATATAAATTATAATTACAAATATATTATTTATAATAAATACTGCAAAAAAGAAACAATAGGTTTAGTATAATAATAATAATAATATTAACAACAACAACAACAACAACAATAACAATAACAATAATAATAATAATAATAATAATAATAATAATAATAATAATAATTTATAACAACAAGAATTTAAAATAAATTTTTTTAAAGTTTTTTTAGATTTTTCAATTTTTTGAAATTTTTCCAGTTTTTTCCAGTTCCTTCTAGTTTTTTCCAGTTCCTTTCGGATTTTTCCAGTTTCTTCCATTTTTTCCAGTTCCTTCCAATTTCTTCCTGTTCTTCCAGTTCCTTCTAGTTTCTTCCAGTTTTTTCCAGGTCCTTCCAGTTTTTTCCAGTTTTTCCAACATGCAGCTCTTTTTTTAAAATTCTAAAGAACAGGCACTAAGAGGGCGTTTAAGAGTGTGGTAGATTATATAAAAGTAGAAGTTTTAAATCGAAACAGAAAGTAGATATTTTTAACTATGCTTAAAAGCACTTTTGGAACCTATTTCAAACTGCAAGTCATAATCTATAAACAAAAGTGAATTACAAACACGACGAACATTATTTTAGTAAAGCAAAAACTCATACTCCGTAATAAATTTTTAAACGCAACATAGAACACCCTCTAAATACTTTTGATTTTAATCCACTGCTGTGCCAAATATTCTCTAAATAATTCCTCTAATTCAAAGCTCTACTCTTCGAATGACCACTACGGTGATGATTTTTTCCTTTCTAACCCCCACTAAACTAATTTAAATCGCATCTTTCAAATTTTCAATGTTTGACCAAAGTTTTATTCAATACAATTTATTTTACAATTTGAGCAAAATAAAAAAAAAATAAATTTACATATTAAAAAAACAATACAAAAAACTATATAGCACAAAAGCTGACATGATTATATTATTTTATCAAATAAGTAATAAAAATAAAAAAAGAAATTGAATAAAATTTATCCAAAAAAACATGCAACTTAATTTAGAACGAATAGAGGACATATGTTTCACTTTTCAATAGATTTACCACACTTAATTTCTCTGTACTTTTAACACTTCAAAACCAAAATTCTTTGTACTCTCAACACTTTTAATGCAAACAACTTAAAATTTAACCTTGTTTTGCATAAAGCGCTAATCTTTTTTTGGGACGGAGGGATATTATAGTAGAGTTAAAATTTTTACTCCGTAGCTGGTAATATAGCAATGATATCATGATGTAAAATTACTTCCAAGTGGATAATTAAAGGGAATCAATAGAGAAAAAGTAATAATATGAAGATGAATAGTGCATTCCTGCACTATCAACAATAGAATCCTTACGAGCATGAAATTTTCCTCAAAATTATTTTTGAACCCATAATGACTATGGAGCATGGACGTAGTCTAAGACTCTAAACTATCATCAAATGAAGAATAAGATTTGTTGAAAAATACAGAACAAAAAAACAATAGAGTCGGTACATGACAAAGATGACGAGCCAGGACAGAGAGAAACACAAGAGCTGGGTGTTTGCTCTTAAGGTCTTGCTAAGGTAATTTTGAATGAGAGTTTGAGGTCTGAAACTCCATCAAAACTCTCTTCCCCGATAATCTCCTGTAACAGATAGTAGGCATTATCTTTCTGTGGGTGACACCAAAAACATATACGGAGTGTGAAAGCTATTAGAAATGTGAAGACTAGTACTACTTACAGCACTTGGTGGCATCGAGTCAGCAGGAAGCAGAGGAGATCCAATGGCCTCGGTAATGTATACTTCCTGATGAGAATTTAAATGAATTAGGAGAAATCCACTCAACCATTTCGGCTAGCTTTCTCACCAAACACCGAACTTATGGGTTGAATAGGTTACGATTGGGGGGAGGGGGAGGTTGTGTACTGAGTGTGCTTTTGTTTTGTTGTTGGGATGCTAAAATGAATGAATGAATGAATGAAGACATTTCGATCCTTGTTTTTAGACAATACTTTCTTCAACTTATTTGGGAAGTCTCTTTTAAATATTTGTATTGAGACATTCCAACAACTCATCAATGATTTCAGTAACAAATTCAGCTGAATTCACACTTTAAGTAAACCGGATTGGATCTTCACTTGGAGTTTACGGTGTTACCTGTGTCTCCAAAACCTGTTGAGAAACTGAGTTATCAATATCAAGAGCTCTGAAGTAGACATGAACTGCGTCAGTAGGCTCAAGTGCAGATTTCTTTTTCAACTTCTGGACTCTATTAACAATCTAAAAGAATTGAACAAATCATCAAACAATTAAAATTAGAATAACTGAACCTAAAATAGGACAGCTTGATGTTAACAAAAATAATGAAACTAGTCTTGTAGCTATACTTCGCGAGCAGCACCAGTCCGGAGTTGTGACTCATCAATCACCAAATCTAATACCACCAAAACATCACCTGTAAATGAATTCAAACAGTAAAAATGGAGAATTTAAACAAATGATTGACATGAAAACACACGATGGAGCTGAATATATAGACAATACAGACATGTAGCTCAGACCAAGCCCACATGGCTCATGGATTACAGCTCACTAAGGACGGGAAGATCAATCAGCAAGTTTCAAACGGTAGGTTAAAGAAGCACAACAGCTTTTAACTGGCTTTGACTAATGAAACCACGCATCTCCCCCGCCCCCTCCCCAGGGTATCTAATGCATCTGACCCTTCATGATTCATGTACCAAGCATCATCTCACACTTATAAACTCAAAGCCTCTTGCTAGTTTCTCCTCACCATTCGTTTACTCAAAAGCACTTGCCTCATTTTGTCTGAAGGTTAGTTCCCAGTGTCCTTCCTCATTTTTTTGCCTTTTTCCTTTGTCCCTTTTGCTTTTGTATTATGGTCTCTTACATTTTGTATTTCTTAGAACTTTATTGCCTGAAAAACTGTCCAAGGTCGACCCCCGGAAAAAGTTTCAACAGTAACATCACAATAGTAAGTGACAATAACTGAGGAGAAATTGACTCGCTATACATGACAAGATAGAAAGTTGATTCGATGCCAGTCTCATGTTTGGCTGGTTGGTTTTGAGACATTCTGTAGTCCTATGGAAGAAAGAGATCGCTTCATTCGGGACAGATAGTTCCTACCTACAATACTAACATTTCCAAAAGGGAAAGCAAAAGCAAAAGGGCAAAAAAATCACATGTTGGAAGAGCAACAAACCTAAATCCCATGCCATAACCAGACAAGGAAAACTTGAGTAGAAGAGACTACAGACTAAAGACTAAAGACTAAAGACTAAAGCTTAACTAGAGACTATCTCTTGTTTTTTGACAATATTCAAAGTTGGATGTTATGGGCAATAACCCTTTATAACCAAAAGCTTCCTGCAGGTCTTGAATGCATTGTTATCAAGTCGTTGACTAGACGTCCGGTCGTTTTCTGGGTGGCAACTTGCATCTCGACTAGCGACTTGGGTGGACTAGTTGTTCAGGCAAGCAAAGCGACGACTAGTCACGCTAAGCAAAGACTAGTCGCTGACGGAAATCAACCCAATCTGACCCAACCCGACCCAAAACAAATTTCATTAAATTTTAAAAAATACTTCATAAAACATCACTTTACTCATAAATTTTAAAAAATACTTCATAAAACATATTTCATTAAATTTTAAAAAATACTTCATTAAACAACACAATCGCAGTCGACTTGAACCCTTCTCAAATCCCAATGTCTTTTTCATCGCCATCTTCCACAATGGAAGAAAATCGCCATGGTGGCATAAAGTTGGATGATGATATTTGATAACTCAAAATATGGAATTAAATATTTTAATATGTTCTTTGACTTCTCTTTGTGCTTTTATCTTTGGTGTTGTGTTGTTTTTGATGATTAAAGGATACTTATTTCTTATGTACCCTTCGTAACGTGACTTTATGTGCTACCTTTAAACATAATTTTGTTTTGGTAAAGATATTTTGTCATATAGATATATATAATTATCTTGGGTCAATGAGGATATATAAAAGCTATAGAGTAAATTCCCAAAATTGTCCTTTGTAATAAGGTGTTTTCCCAAATCAGTCCTCAATAAATTTTAATTACCTACGTGGTCCTCTATAATTGAGATTTATTTCCAAGATGGTCCTTCGTAAATAATGTTACTCAAATGAGGATTAATTGAGGGTATTTCGGTATTTTTTATCCGCTAAATTTAGAATTAATTCTTAAAATGATCATTTATAAAGAAGTGCTTTCCCAAAATGGTTTTTTTAATTAAAAATGTGTATTTGATTGGAAATTTAAAAGATTTTTTATAAGTTTTAAATAATTAATGAATTATTTATAGTCAATGTATTTTTTCAATTTTTACGTTTAGTTGTACAGAAATAACTGTTTCGAGAATATACTTTAAATTTAGATGATCAAAATACTAAAATATCTCTCAATTATTCATCATTTGAGTAACATTATTTACGAAGGACTATCTTGGGAATAAATCTCAATTATGGAGGACCATGTTGGAAATCAAAACTTATTGAGGACTAAATTGAGAAAACACCTTATTACAAAGGACTATTTTGGGAATTTACTCTATAAAATATTAATAATTTCAATACTAGTGATTTGTCAACCAGTCTACAACTAGTAGGCCGACTAGTGGAGTCCAGTACTCAACTCGACTTGTTGACTTAACAACCATGCTTGCATGTGGGCTTATAATTGTCCGTTAGACCATTTTGTAGGCACTCATCATCCATAGGGTGTCATCAAATATTCCTCCAACAAATATAGTTCTCCTATAGTCTGCCATGACTTATATGGAACAAACCGCATGAAGTCAGAGGGTCTGGGTCTAAATACAATGAACTCATCATTTTCTTTGTTGGCCCTATAGTCTTAATCTATGTAGAGATAAACGTGCAGCTAATGACCCAACCCCCATGGCCGAACTATGACATCTCACTGAAGGGTGGGGCCACCACTGAAAACTTTGGAAAGTCAGTTGAAAATTCCCAGCATGTTTTGAATGTCTTAGATTTTTCCTTAAGTCTATAGAGGGCCATCTAGTTAGAGTAGAACAAAGCTTGCAGGACCAACCCAATGGTTAACTGTGCCAAGACTCGAAGCAGATGCTGTGAACAAAGCCCAAATATATCAGGATTTGTGCACAACTTTCATTTCTGCTTATATTATGACAACAAAAAAAAACCAACGATAATAGTAACAGGATATGTCCTAACCATCTCCAGCTGCATCTATCTCGTTCTCTGTTCGATTATGGGGGCGCTTAAATCCACTGATAATCTACAAGGCAAGCAGAAGAATTGCTCAGTTAGAGAATTTTCCTTTCACCCAATGTAGCAAACACATACTTAGAATACATACATACACACAAAAAAGCAAAACACTCCATATTTCACAAATGATTGCAAAATTAATATCAAGTTATGAACCTTAATATCACTAGGCTTTAAAGTGTGCGATGCGATGATAATTTCACCAGCCTTCTCAAAAGCTATAATATCTTCTGTTGTCATTGCCTTGACAACCTTGGTGACTTCTCCCATTGACTTTCCAAGTCTTTTCCCTAACACACTGAGGAAGCGACACAGAATGAGAGGGGTAAATAAAAAGACCCAGTGAAGAATTACAATATATAAATTGTATTACCTGAAATCAGGTTCAGCGCGTAAAGATGCATACTCCAAAGTATTACTGCATGTCTCCAATGATTGAACATTGAGTTCCTCTAATACAAACTGTAAAGTAGTGTTAAAAGCATATAAATTTGAGCAAGGGAGACAAAAGTGTGTACAACAAAAAGCCAATGAGGTCCAATGAGAAATTGAGAAAAAAATTGTAAGAATAGTATAAAATTGAGGATTAAATTGTAAGAATAGAATCAATTACAGGTTGAAAAGAGAAACAAAAAGGAGACCCATGCCCATAAATGTAAGCAAAGGGTAAAAGAAAATACAAGTCTACTTTGTTTGATTGGATTTATTAAGTTGTTATTTAGTACTCCGTATCAAATTTCTGCAACCTCCTTCCAATTTCTTCCTAACTCCATCCAATTTTTTCAACTTCTTCCAGTTTCTTCCAACAATGATTTTAAAAAATTATTTACGTAGATTTTCATTTATTATTATTATTATTATTATTATTTTTATTAATATAGAGTAGAGAAAAGTGATGTAATAACACAATTTTAAAAAATCTTTATCCTCAAAATAAATTATAATTATCATTAGAGTCCATGTAAATTATTAAAATATTAAATTAATTACTTTATTATTCCCTTTGTGATTTTGAAATATTCATTAACTAGGTTTCTTTGAAATGTACTCTAGTCAATGTTTTAAAATTTTGAGCATAAATTATGAGAAAAAACATCGATTTGTGCTATAAATTGAATATCAATTAACACATTTCGAAACAATTTTGGAATATCATATTTTCACTGGAGACCATGAAAAGACATAAAAAGAGATATGGGAAAGATGTAGTTATTTGGAACGAACTATAGAAGAAAAAGTAGATATTTTTATGAATAAAATATTGTAAGAATTTTTTCAAACAAACCAAAAAAGAAAGAATGAAATTTTTTTAGGACAGAGGAACAACAAGCTTAGGAACCAAAAGAATTGTGCACTCTATTTTCTTTCAATTAAGTACTCATAAATGTGCACATTCTAAGCATACGCAAAATAATGAATGCGCATACAACAATTTCATAAAATGAATGCTCTCAAGCATATGCAAAAATTAATTGTGCAAAATAAAGATTGTTTAATTTTTAAATGTGCATATGTCAGATGTATATTGAATACTACCTCCATTGCACAAACGTCTCATGTATTAATTTGACCTTTAGAAATTTTAAATAAATGTTAAAAACTGAAAAGAATGTGGTTTAAATACTTTTGAGATGGACGAAAAAAGGAAGAACGGAAGTTTTTGCGGGGTATATGAAGGAGAAGCTTAGAGTATAAATTATTTAAATAAAATATGAACTTTATAAAAATAACATTTATTTCAACACTTCTTATATATTTCATCACCTTCCATTTTTTTTCAACTTCATCGAGTTTTTTCCAACATCTAGCTTTGTTTTTACACTTGAAAAGAATAGAGCCTAAGTGAAAAGATAATGCTCCACTATAGATGTGTCGTGTCGAGTTGCATAGATTATCTTCAGTATTCCATAACCATATAAAACAATAAATTTCACTAAGAAGCACTTCCTTAAAGCAAGAAATGGATCTTATATCAAGGTGGTGACACAATCCTAACTACATTGGGGTCTAGGGGTCAAGATGTATGACACCTTACAACAACTGACCGAACAAAATACAACAAACTGGGGTCTGTGGAGAATTTGTGTAAGCAGACATTACTCCTAACAAAAAAGTAGAGGGTGTTCCAAGACTACGCAACCTTATCCCAATGAAAATAGAGAGGATGTTTCTGTTCAACCCAAGACGATTGTTATTTATTGCCCAAAAGTTCAAAAAAGTAAAAAGCAAGGCAATTTAATGTGTGGTGGGGTTCCCATGACATTGGAACCCCATGCCATGGGATGACCCGGGGGCGCTCTGGTGCTCCGTTCGTAAAATTGATGGTTCTTACCCCCGGTAACCCCCCACCCCCTTCAATTGTACCTAAGTTAATTTTGACTTTGGAGTCAAAATTTGACTCCAAAGTAAAAATTAACTTGTAGGGTGCAATTGAAGGTGGTGGGGGGTTTACTGGGGGTTAGGGGGTAGGAACCGTCAATTTTACGAATGGGGCACTGGAGCGCCCCCGGGTCATCCCATGACATTGCCCGGCAATGTCATGGGAACCGTCCGTTTAACGTGCTATTTCAATTTAGTTGGTCCTAAAGCTAAAGCATTCTCAAAAGTCAAAACAATGCTTTTAGCTCCATTAGGAATGGAAACACTCCTTAAATTCAAACTTTTATTTTTGCGATAATTTTTGTTAAATACAGTATAGGGAAAGCACAAAATACAACAACAACAACCCAGGTGAATCCCACAACAGTAGGGTCTGGGGAGGGTGTGTGTACGCAGACCTTGCCCCTACTCGGAAGTAGGGAGGCTGTTTCCAAGAGGCCCCCGGCTCCACCTGCACAAAAATATGGAAGGGAACACAATATAACACAGATAAAGTACCAAGTACAAGCAACAAGTACAAGCAATAGCAGAAGATTCCAAACAAATACAACACACTACAAAACAACCTGTACAACACCAAGCTCCTATCCAGCTACTCTAATCCTAGTTTTCCAAAGGTTCCTATCTAGGGTCATATCCTCAGTCACGTCGAGAAGTCCTAAATCCTGCCTAATCACCTACTTCCAATTCTTCCTAGGTCTACCCCTTTTCCTACTTCCCCTGATAACTGTAATCCTCTCGCATCTCCGTACAGGAGCGTCATTGTTATATCCGGGCTTGGCCCTATCATACCCTCCCCCATGTCCCACACCCTCGCAAAAACCAAAGGACTTACGTTCAAACATTATGATTCATTTTAATGAGAATTCCAAGTCCTTCAACCCGAGGCCAAAATAACTTCGGACCTAAGGGTTCTGCCAACCAACTCCCACTCTGCCAAACCCCACCCTAAACATCCAAAACTCCTTTCAATTTAATTCCTTTCAAACATAAAGTTTTCCTACACTTATTTTAGCCCATGGCCGAAAATAAGGGTGTGTAAAATAAAACCTTTTGTTTGTTGTTATTTTACTTCTTTTAAGCCTTTTATTCAACAAATAAAACCCTCCCTCTATTCCATTCACCCCCTGGCCAAAATACACTTCACAATCCCAACATAAACACCCACAAAGAGCCAAAACCCAGACCCACCACTAGCCACTCATTCCTGCCCATGTTCCCTTACAAATAACCCAAACCTATAAGTCCAAAACCACACATTATATCCCCCATCCCTGCCCCCTTTTATTAGCCAAAAACAACCCCCATTTTTACCTAAATAATAGCCACAAAAACCCAAGAAACAACCACTAACAACCAAAACACAAACCCCCACAACCCCAGCCCCATCCCTAATTTTATTCCACTAAGGAGACATGAATGAATGGCCAATACCCCATGCCTTGGAAGAGATTGTTGCAAGGAAGCTTCCCTAAGTTTACATTCAATGTATTTTGAATAATCTCCCCCTTCCCCTGCCTATATAACTCAGGCCTTATGGCCATTGTAACATACCTTTTGAATATTAAAACATTTTACTCTTTGAGTATTACTCCCTCCGTCCCTGAGTGTTTGTCCACTTTCATTTTTGCACACCATCCAATGCACTTTTTTAATCCATTTTATCTTGTAATTTGTATATTAAAAAATTATAAAAATTATATATTAATAATCTATATGTTAAGACGAATCAAATAAGATCACACATGACTATTTTTAAGCTTACACATTGAGAGAATTTGATGAGTCAAAGTGCTTAGATGAACAGTTCAAAAAGTCAAAAGTGGACAAACACTCAGGGACGGACCAAGTATTAAAATAGTGTGATGCTATTTTAGCCAAATTCCTAATTCTATATCTTAAGAGTGGTTATCTTAAGTGTGAGTTTTAGGTTCTAGTTATTTAATTGAGTGTGTCATATCTTAATTAAATTCTACTCAACCCCAAGTTAAGATAAGGGTGTGTCATATCTCTTAACACCAACTTGGTTTATCCCTTCCTTATTTTTATTCTTAAATTTCGTACCTCCCCATATTCTCTTCCTAAACCTCTTCTTTTCTTCCAAAAACACAAAAAAGAACTCCAAAAACACCTCCCATATTTCGCCCCACATACTTCCGCATTCATTTCCTCCACAAATTCATCACAAAATTAGCAACTTGATAAGACCCCCGGTTCACCCCTAACAATCATACACAAAATAATGGCTAGAAATTGATATCTCGGTGTGGGCACATAGCCTAAGATATGTAATACACATACATAAGTCATACATAAACAAGTATTCTATTACCCTCAACGCATTTGTGAAAGTAAGATAAATAACATACGTATGTGTATTATAAATATTAAAAAGCGGGCTTCTAATCACAAAAATCAGTCATTAAGTAAGAATTAGATAAGAAATGCACTCAAAAGAACACCACTTTATCAGCTACCATGACAAAAACATCATGTCTCACCAAAATTGCGATGCAGTACGTTCTTTTTAGAGCATATTTTAAAAATATTAAAAATAAGACACTAAAGATGAAAAATAGACCTCTTTTAGTCTGTCCTTAATATCTTGAAGAAAGTCTTGATCGGAATGTACAACCACCATGTTCCTACAAAAAAAATTAACAAAGCAGCACAACAAACAATTATCATTTCCAATGCACAACTTGAAAGTTGAAACAGGATGGGTAACAAAGCTGTAGAAAATTCAAATAACACTACCTGAGTGGTGTTTTTAGAGGTTTGTTGCGGCGCTCCCGAATATTACGGGCAAGATCAATGACTGTCATCATTCGAGTAACACTTCGTTCAATGCGTTCCCATCTCTAGAAGCAGATAGATTGTTGAACAAAAGAGGGTTTTTTTAAAAGCGTAATTCAAGCATATACTTTACCAAATAACTAAAAGTAAACCAGCAGTACCTTCCCTTCTACTTCAGGAAAACTGCAATAATGAATACTGTCATCTGATGAATTGAGAACTTTTCTTAAATTTTGGTACAGAACCTCAGTAAAAAAGGGTGTGAATGGGGCCATTGCTTTGCAAGAAGTCAAGAGCACCTGAATCCATATACATATTTAGTGTATAAAAAGAAATGAAATATAGTTGGTCTAAAGGTAGTTTGTTTAGTTTTAGCAACAATAGTGTATAACCTATAACACCCAAAGTTGTATAGCAATCACCAACATGTTAAAAACAATGAAGTATCAAATAGCATAAGATCAGGGTATTGATAGAATACATGGTAAAGTGTAGACAGAGCAGTTCTGCAATCGTCTTCGCCTGTACGACCTTTAAGCCTCTTACGATTGAACCGCACATAAATATTTGTCAAGTTATCAAGAAATTTCAACAGATAAGGAACCACCTACAAGGTGAGATTTAAAAGTTAATACAGAACGCCAGCATAACTACAAAGTAAAAGCTCCATTACACTGATGACGATATAACACATAAAAAAGAACTCCAAGAAAGAAATGTGTCATCAATTAAGGCCAGCAGTATAACATAAAATTCATTTAACTTAGTAAAATGACAAAGTCAAAAGGTAAAATTGGAATAAATAATGCAAAGAGCTAACCGTGTACAGTCTGTATGCATTCATTTCTCCTCGAACAAAATGTACTAAACTCTCAGTGGCCGAGTTGATCCATTGATCAAGAACATTGGAGGAAGATTGAAGAGTTTTCTTATCAATAGGAACAAATGCCCCAAGTCCATCAACTTCAAATCTTTTTGCATTCTGGACAAGGAACCTATATGCATTGTACCATGGCAGAAAAACATCTTTAACCTGCAGTATGAGGTACTAGTATTAAATTAGGCAAAACATATTGATAAATTGATTAATAAAAAGTGTGCCCAGAAAAGTATTTCTGGCGAACCAGAGCAAGAAAAATTTTAGACACCAACCACCCCATACACTCCGTCTTTTTTGAACCGCAAGGGCTCAGCACGAACAACTGGAGAGTTAATCAGGTATAATCGCAAGGCATCCTACACAAAAACCATGCAGAATAGACTCATAAATAAACAAGTTCCTAGAAACTAATGCCGAAAACAGCAATAGTGGACACAACTTACAGCACCATAATCATTGATAACTTCTTTAGGTTGCGGATAATTCTTCAGTCTTTTACTCATCTTCTTTCCATCCTCGGCCAGTACAAGTCCATTGCAAATGAGATTTCTAAAAGCGGGTTTTCCAAATAGTGCTGTAGACAATACCATGAGGGTATAAAACCTGGAAAAAAAAAATTTAGTCTGCAACTTTCCAACAATGGGATATGAAAGTCAAATGAGATTTTCAATTGACATGAGAAAAGTTACTCCTTCCGTCCAATAATTTTCTTCATAGTTTGACTTTGCCCGATTTTTAATAAAGTGGAATGCGTGTGGTTGTGGTTTTTGTAGAGGAAAGAGAAATGATATGGATCACATATATGTTTCCTTAAAAGGAAAGAGATAAAATTTTCGAAAACTCAAATAGGAAAGTAGGAAGATAATCATGGGACAGAAAGAATAGAAAACAAGAGGATTAGTGATGCACAGCAACACTCACAAAGAAAAAAGTCAACATGCAATGATAACTATTAGATGCAAGGAATGAATCCCTTAACATAGCATATTCTACATCATGATTGGATGAAAAAAATAAAACAAAAATGAATTAGAGCAGAGGTGTCATAAAAACTAGAAACAAATCTTTAAATCAATCTCAAACAATAAATAAAAATAAATCTTGAATTTTTTTGTTTGAAAAGCTTCAAAATTCCATATCCATTTATTTTCAAAGAAATGGGTATCCATTTTTGGGACAGAAGGAATAGAAAACTAGGGGATCAGTGATGCACAGCAACACTCACAAAGAAAAAAGTCAACATGCAATGATAACTAATGGATGCGAGGAATGAACCCCTTAACATAGCATATTCTACACCATGATTGGATGAAAAAAATAAAACAAAAATGAATTAGAGCAGAATCAGCAGAGGTGTCATAAAAACTAGAAACAAATCTTTAAATCAATCAAACAATAAATAAAAATAAATGTTGATTTTTTTTGTTTGATAAGTTTCAAATTTCCATATCCATTTAAAGGAACCCACCTAGCCATGTGTACTTACAATGTAATTAAACAAAACCCTGCCACTTACAGGCAAACAAGATATGCCAGTGTAGTCAAACCAAGATCAATAAAATGATGATAACAGACAATCATTAAGATTAAGTGGAGGCATTGCAGAACAAGGACCAAAAAGACCCAGCTAAAACACACCCTAAAATGGGGCAGGCTAATTGCAAATGTTTACCAAAACCGCATTTAACTGGAAATCATTCCATTTATGTAGAATGAAGGATCGTTTCATCTTATAGTTGGTACATAAGTACATGATAGAAAAACGCCATGGATTAAACATACCATCCACGAGTTTGGTCAAGCCCCTCCGCAACAAAATGCCCTGGAAAGTTATTCTCAAAGAGTTTAACATTTTCGAATGGATAATGAATATATGCATAAGGCATGGATCCACTTTCAAACCAGCAATCAAACACCTGTAAATTTTGTCAAATGGTAAATCAACAGGCATGAAACTAGAAGGCAGAGACATGCAAATGGATTATGCCACTTAGCAGTAAAAAAAAGGGCAGGACATGAGCAACACGAAAAGACTGGACTCCAGCAAGTATGTCTACTATTTCGAGGCATAGGAAGATCCAAAGTGAACTAACAGAAATATTTGTGTTTTGGAACTGTGAATGAAAGATGACAGAACATCAATTTCGGTCCATCAGTGTGCTTCTATGTGGACCAATTTCCTCTGATGGCAAACAAGAACAATCTGAGACCTCTTGAAATAGTTCACAGTGCCACCACTGTGAACTACAATCTGAGGTAATATCATAAACTACAAACTAAAGCCCCAGAGGTCTACTCAGGTCCGTTAATCCTAATTCATAAATCTTGAAAAGGTCATATCCTCGGTAAAATCATGAACTTGTAGGCACTACTTAATCACCTCATTTCAATTCTTCCTAGACCTACCTCTACGAGCGCAAACCACCAGCTTCTCACCGCTTCTCCACAGGAAACCACACACACCTTTCCTGAAAACCCTCGTTCAGGATCTTATCCAACTTCGTGTGACCAGACATCCACCTCTGCATCATCATCTCTTCCACTTGAATCTAATGAACGCAGGTTTTCTTCATCGCTCTTCAATCTCCTCCGTAGCGGTTCTCCACTATACTATAAAACTTCTCTTTTGTGGTAGTTGAAAATTTCTACTCCCTCCGTAAGAATTTTGGGAAGGAGAAAGTAAAAAAAACAAAAAGAATTTTGTGAAGGGGAAAGATAATTTTTTGGTGAAAATGGGGATGAAAAAGTATGGGATGGATAGTGTAGTATGAAAAAGTGATTGTTGATTTGATAGTGTAGAATGAAAATGGGTAGTGTAGTTCCCGTTTTAACCTTTCAGTTGATGTTAAATTCACTTTCTTATTTTCCCCCAAAGTCAAAAGAGGAACTCTTTTGAGAAACGGAGGTAGTTCAAGGTAACGAAACTTGTTCCTTCTTTGGGGACTGGGTGTGAATCAATCCATTCTTCTATTACCGATTAGGTCATCTGACCGCTAGCAGCATTCCAAGTAGTTAATCTTGGCCATGATCACTTTGAGACCTTTGGATTACAAGGTATAACACCACATTTCTAAATTATCATGAGTCCCCCACATGTCTCATCAAAGAGTACAATGTCGTAATCAAATAAAATGCACCATAGTACCTCACCCTAGACATGTGTCAAAACTTTCATCACTAACGCAAAACAGAAAGGACTAAGGGTAGACCCCCGGGGTAAAGCCATTTCTACCGGGAAAGGGCCAAAGTCACCGCCAATAGCCTTCATTCTTAGTCTTTCGCACAACATACATGTCTTTAATCACACAAACGTCATCAACTGGTACCCCTCTATCCTCTAGGCACCTCCACAAGATCTCCCTTAGAACCTTATCATATGCCTTTTCCAAGTCAATAAACACCACATGTAGGTCCTTCTTGATCCGATACTCCATCATTCTTCTAAGAAGGTTGATGGCATCCCTAGAAGACCGGCCAAGCACGAAACCCTATGGAGTGATCTGAGTCTTTCCGATCTACTTTTTACTCCCAAAGCCTCATGAAATCCACTCTAAGTTAATAAAAAGATAGTAACCTTAGAGCAAATAAAGTAGGCATGTTGATAAACTTGCTAGAACATACAAGGCTTCCAAACCAAACAAAGAAATTTGTGAGGAGCATTGGCATTAAATTCATATAAAGGGGGTTTGTAAAATATATTTTTTTGCACCGTGGTTCGTAAAATATTAACACAATAAAATAATAGAAATTTGATGCTGCAACTGAAGTGCTTATAATGTTTATTGATGACAAAAATCTTAGTAACTATGTGATATTCCATAACAAACTAAAGTCTAGTGTATAATAGATTTAAGGCCATGCAGTATAGATACAACTTCAAGTTGTGACAAGGGGAAGCAAATCCGTAGCAGCATCCCGTTAGGAAAATAAAGGATAAGAAGGAAGATTCTCATTATGCATTTCGTATTTTGTAAGAAATACTCAGCATACTCTAATTCTGCTAGCATGACATTCAAAGTAGGTAAAAAGTAGATGAAATATTCTTATTATATAAATATTATGGATAGAACAAATATTCATCTTATGAAATACAAAATACTGATGAAATAGAACATAAGCTTATCAACATGACACCGATGGAGGGAATGGTAATATGATCAATCTTATCAACTTACATCCTCCACACGACGAAGCACACCAAAATCATGCCCACGACTGGAGGGAATGGTAATATGATCAATCTTATGACGATGCAAGTCTGTCACCTGCACAGGAGTGAAAATTTCAATTCTACACTTGCTCAAAAACAAAAGAATAAGACTGAAATTAAAAAAGAAACAGGCTGTGGTGAATTAACATAAGCTAAAAAACAAATTTCAATTACAACATGTGATGCCATATTGGAATTAAAAATGGTGTACCACTGACCTACAGAAGAAAGTTATTAATAAACCCCTAAAACTATACACCTGGCTCCTTTATAAACTGGTGAAATGTCAATGACAGGAACCCACAAGCTTGAACTAAAAGTGTGATTGTAATTAAATAAAAGAGTCCAACTCACCCCTAAGGACTAACTCTCCAAACAAATCCACATTGAGAAGGAAAATCTCCTATATAACGCAATGATTTTATTATATACTTAGATGCTCCTGAATAACGAATTGCCTTGCCTATCAATAGAGAAAAACCTAATAGAAGGTTTACCGTAAACATAAATAATTAAAAGCCTAAAATATACCGAGTAACTCTGACATTCTCCACTAGACCAAGCTTAATTGGAAGGGCATGACAGCCTCCATACTTCCACTTCTTAAGCCCTCCGTTCATCACTATTCCTCTTCCAACTCCAGAACATGGCAATGGAGTTGTATCAATACAACCCTCTTGGGAAAATGACTTTCCCTTCATTCAAATAGAGTAAAATGTCAACTATAGGAGTGTTAGAGTAGTTTTTGTTTTACTAGGCTGGCAAATGGGTTTAAACTTTGATATATAATATCAATGGCTAACAACTCACTAACATGGTTTTTAAACCTAATTTCCTAGGTAAGGGGATAATGAAATTGTCGATGTTGGGGTGGTTAAGCATTTAAAATGAGGGGGAGGATCGTGTAAGATTTCTGAATGGTAGGAGTATAGAGTTGTATACTATTAGGAGGCTGGCTGCTGTGTTGCTAGCTTCATTGTCCTGCACAACTTCTTCTGCCACACTTTAGGTATCTTCGTAGTCTTGCACCACCTTGACGAGAGAGAAAGCCTGTGTTTTGCTTCAGTTCCCAGTTTGGCATGTCTCTGTCATTGCAGCATCTTTGCTGTTCTTCTCATCATTCCCGGCATCCAAGCAGAGAAGGGAACCACCTATGGAAGACTGAACTCTAAGCTTGTCCTCTTCGTCTGAGCTGATTGGATCTGATCTAATTTTATTAATTTTACTAACATCTGATCTCATCTGGTTTGATTGTAGTTATATTTAAAGTTGTTTATGATCAATAAGATAAGTTAAGTAATAAAGAAAAAGTTGAAGAGAACAAGCTCTCTTGGGAGGAGGAATGAATTTTAATGTTGTCTTCTGTCCAGCTTTCAGTATGTGAAGACAAGCCAGGCTGTGTGGAATTTGGGCCAACAGTCTGGCTCTTTTTCCATGCAAGTTTTGATGGTTTCCACTTCTTCTATGAGAATATTTCATAAAGTTTGTAATCTTGAGTTCAAGTCAACATGTTGGGCACAAATGAAGTCATCAGAAGGACGAGTAAAATGATATCCGAGTTGGGCAGTTTGATGTGTGGAGTTTGGTTTTAAAACTGCAGGTTCCTAAGGACATTTTTTCCTAGTATTTCTTGGCCTTTCCTAACAATGGGACCAAATAATAGGAACCTGGAAAGTGAAAACTAGAACTAAAGTGACTGCATTTAAAGAAGTGTCCAAATTAAGACGAACTTTAAGAACGAGTCCACTTCGAGAAGGACAAATCTCCAAAACAAAAGAATGATATCATTATACTTATCCACTTCTAAATGACAGCATTCCTAGCCTAAAAAAAGAGAAAAGCATAATAGAAGGTAAATAACCAAATGTCTAAAATATAGAAGTGATTCTACTCTAGAATAAATACTACTAAAATGGGCATGACTGCCTCCACTCTTCCCCTTCTTCAGCCCTCTATTCTACACTTTTCCTCCTCCAACTTTAGTACATGGCGGTGGAATTGTATCACTCAATGTCATGAACATTGAGATGCAGAGTTAAAATGGAAGTTCGGAGCACATAATATGTGATATACACGAAGATGCAAAATGGAATATCAAACAAATTGCCAAATGATTTCCAAGATTGAACAAGAGAGCCACAGAAACAGACAAAGAACAAACCTTTTCACCAGAAAGTTTTTCCAGCTTTTCAATGGAATCCATAACAACAATTTCCTCACCGTCCTCGCTAACCCATACCGGAAGTGGAGTTCCCCAAAACCTACTTCGACTAACAGCCCAGTCCCGTGCATTTTCCAGCCAATTATGAAATCGCTTGTCCTGTAAAAAAATGAGATTAAAAATATCACGTTGAAATGAGAAACTGCAACTGGTCCTGTGATACCATTCTAAAAATGCAGGCTGGCATCCTTTATCAATATCCGCTCGGTCCCATAAAGGGGGGATGCTGATCATTAACAATAATGAAATGAATGCATCATATCAACAGTCCGGCACCTAAAATTGGGAATACTGACCTTAACAAAATCAGGAACCCAGTATGTTTCTTTATTGTTCTTTAGCAACTGATCCTTTATCTTCTCTACAGAAACAAACCTTAACACGAATGAAAAACTTGTAAGATGGTTCATGGTCATCTTGATTATGCACACTCAAACAGGGGATGCAAAGTTGTAACGCACAGTCAAGGCACAAAATGCAAAAACAGAACTGACCTGAAGCATGCTCATCACCATTGACGAAATACTTGAATAATCAAAACATGAAATTCAATACTCGTATAAAATTAATACATACAAACAAACATTGACATAAACACATCATTATGTGAACTTCAATGATGTGCATCCCATAACACTCCATCTGTCCCTAACTAGTTGCCTCATTGACCCGGGATGGATTTGAGAGAAAAGTGAGATTTATTTTGAGGAGAGAAATAATATAAGCAATACATTTTTCCTTAAATGATTACATACATACATACATACATACATACATACATACATACATACATACATACATACATACATACATACATACATACATACATACATACATACATACATACATACATACATACATACATACATACATACATACATACATACATACATACATACAATGTATGTATGTATGTATGTATGTATGTATGTATGTATGTATGTATCCTACATACATACCTACATACATACATACATACATACATACATACATACATACATACATACATACATACATACATACATACATACATACATACATACATACATACATACATACATACATACATACATACATACATACATACATACATACATACATACATACATACATACATACATACATACATACATACATACATTTGTCACCTCTTGTTTTGTAGAACTTTTGATGTACTTTTTAAATATGCAAGTTTTATTTTTTATTTTTATAACAATCTTTAAATAAAACAAATTTAAAAAACTTGAGATTTTACTTTGAATTGCACAAAGTGTACTTCATTTAGGAACAGAGGGAGTATACGATTTCATACCAGCTGGGAACTGCTCTGTAAATGAGAGGTGTGTCAGATCTCCAACAAAACGGGTAAGAATGTGTAAAGTTTCCAGATTTTACGAGCCTTCCCTTCTCCTGAAAAATGTGTAGTGCTCCATAAAAATTAATGTAGGAAAGCACTTCAATGCATGCGTTTACAGGAAGGAAATGGAAACTATTAAGAAATGATAATATGAATTAAAGGCAGCTAATCAGCTATACAGACATTTTACTTGGTACTTTCACACAATTAACCCAGTTCATTGTAGTAACTCTAGTAAGTTCTAAGTACAACATAACAAATACTCATGCAACTTAAAATCTATGCAAAAAAAAGAATTTTTTTTAAATACATGATAAATTTCTTGCCTTAACAGCTTGAATAATATCCTTGTCCGCATCCTTAACATAACGATGAGCAAAGTCGGCTATCCTCTCAGTAAAACAACCATCCTCATCAACAGCTACAATTAGGTTCTCCCCCTGCACAATGTAGGTACCCTCAATGAAAGTCTTAAAGGTAACAAACTTTCATTTACATGGCGACTAGCCTACTACACTAGTTAGAAATAGAAGGCTTTCATCAACATATACTTGAATTAAAAAAAATAAGTCAAATTACTAATTTACGTGAATATAAGGGCAGAACATATAGGGATCCAACGACACATAACATATGTCCAAGCATCCACAGCATTCATACAGTTAATATCACTTGATAAAAAGAGAATACACAAAAGAGGAACTTATGCGGCTTCATTTTCCATTTATAGAACTGAAGAGGAAAAAGTCATTCACATTTTCTAACTCAATTAACCATGTTTGTGACAAAATAAAAAAACATGTTAGTGACTGATCATAATTATTCTACAGAATATACTATTTCAGCCGCCCTAGTCTATTCGTCCGGTTTGATTTTTCCACTCAAAGTTAGAGAATTTTGATCTTCAATTAAATACACACACAAAACCTTCAATAAAAGTTACTCTCTCCACCCCATATCTTTATGCCCATTTAGACTTTTATGGTCAATGTTTGTAAAATTTGAACACAAATTATGAAAAAAATATATTGAATTGTGATGTAGATTTAATATTGATAAATTCATTTTGAAACGTAGTCTTGAAATATCATTTTTTTATATCATATTTATATATAAACAAGATATTACTCCCTCCGTCCATCAATTATCTTCTCATTGCGCGTTACGAGGTTTGACCGATTATTTTCAGTTCAATTTATTTGATTGTAAAGATAAAATTTAAAAATAAAATTTATATAGTAAAAAAGTACATGAAAAATTCTACAAAACTAGATGTGACAATACTATTTTATTTTATGAAATGAATGGTTAAAATAAGCAAACAAAGTGAGTTAAGTTTGACGTTGTGAATAGTATCTGGGAAGATCTATGGTGGACAGAGGGAGTAATTGTTAAAGTGTTGCATCGGAGACCAGGAAAAAAGTCAAAAGTCAAATGAGTAGAAAGATATGGGATCGATGGAGTAGTTCATTGTATTAATATGAATTACAATTAAAATTTTTACCACTATTTACTTAAACTCAATAATAATCTTTACGAGAACAAAATGGAATGAATCACATTTAAAACACGTAGATATGATGCAAGCATTCATAATTTGTTGTTTATTGCATCATATAACGACTTTATGGCTAAGATTTTGTTTATTTAAGTTACATTATATTGCATACTTATATTACAACAACAAAACAACATCAAAATGATATAGACACCTATGTGGGATGCACATCATTGAGAGAAAATGATATAGACACCTATGTGGGATGCACATTATTTAAGTTACATAATCATATAGGGACAACATCTGTCTCTAATCATCACACGTAACGTCATCTAGTTGAACAAACTCACATACCTTGACAATTATCTGATGTTCAATGCAAACGCGATAATCATCTTCACCAAATGCAGGAGCACAGTGAACAATGCCAGTACCGCTATCAGCAGTGACATAGTCATCGGCGATAACTCTGAATGCAACATCAGAGAACTCCTTAAAGTAATCAAACAATGGTACATACCTGCAAATAAAAGAATAACTGCCTCACTAACAGAAGAAGGGGAAAAGGATAAATGGAGGACCAGAATACAATGACAAGATGTGCTATCTTTACAAAAGTAATATTCATTAATAAAATTCACCAGTAAACAAAATAATAACAATGCAAATCCACTGCATAGAGTCAAATTGGGAAAAAATATCATATATTCAATAAAAAGAAAAGAGTCTCATAAAACCACGGCCCACTCCTCAGGAATAGTTAATCAGTAACTACAGCATAAATGAAGTGATCCACAAAGACCTACTCTGTCAGGCAAAGTGGGTTAGTATTTAATAAAGGAAAGACTTAACAATCTAATCCCGGCATATTGAACTGATTAAACAGCAGTATATCGTGTATGGAAAACTAACTTCAATGTCTCATTCATCGGCAAGTGTTTTATTGCCCTTAAAATATATCATTGCACATTACATCTCTTGCTTCTGCCTATAGAGGCAATTTAAAATACTATACACAGGCTTTTCAATTCATTTGCAACCCATTCTTAGACCCATAGATTTTGCTTACACTTAAAATGCATAGGAGTTTTTAAGTGCACAAGGAGGGATGTTGCTGATTGAACCAAACATGTGAGAGAACCTCTCAGGCATGCAGCAGATTGAAGTTTCTGAGTAGCTACATGCTAACTTTTTGTAGCAAGTCAATAATTTACATTGCAATGCCGACAACCAATCCAACAGCTTGGGCTGTATTTAGAAGTGTTTGGAGCTTTTAAAACCTCCATACACAGTTTTTGAAGTCGTTTGATGCATTACGTTTGAAGCTTTGAAGCCTAAAAATGCTGTTTTTGGGGCCATGAACCTCAATTGGAGCTTTTAAAAGCATCAAACTCAAAAGATGTTCAAATTCCAAACGCTACAAAAGAAAGTTTTTGGAGTGTTTGGAACTTTAAGAACACATTTACACTTTCGTCCTAAATAGTAGAGGTATTATAATTTCAATCATAAAATTATAATTAAAAATTAGAATAATTCTTGAAGTAGAAATGTGCAACTCATGTGTTCGTAAACACTACACATTAGAGTAAGCATACTAATGTATTAAAATTTTAAATAAAAACTATGGAGTACTATGTAAAATTTTAAGAAATAATTAAGATTAAGAATACATTGTTGCTGCATTCTTATTTAAAAGCCCTTGTTATAATTTAACAAGCCACACTCACCGCCACCATTTTTTACCAAACACATTTTGTCTGCAATTCACAACTCCTAAAACAGCTGGACACAAATTGAATAAAGAACACCCGCAAAAGCAACTCTTCATTTTCTGTATACTTTTATATTTTCCATTAAAGTAACAAATATAAGGATAAAGTGTATTGAAGAACAAGGATATATTCTCACTTCTTTCCAATGAGTGAAGCTCCAGAGATCTTGTCCAAGATCTCATAGGTGTCTAAATTCTTTGCTTTACCACTGGAAGGCTTGGGCTTGGAATTTGAGTTCCGGGTATCATCAACAGCACCATTGGAAGTTCCTTTTTTTGCTTTTTCTAGGGGAAGCTCAGATAACCTTGATTCTGCAACCACATAGATCCTCCCATCGAATTTGTTACGAACCTGTCATTTAAAGCCTCAGATTAGATGCAAATGGGCATACTAAACATAGAATATACAAGGAACACAAGAAATCTCCTTAGCAAATAAAGGAGAACATGTTTATCATGTTGAAATGAAATAATTACTTCCACTCAAAATATATTCATATTCTCATACGGACAAATAATAATGAATAGAGCATGCAGATGAAGAATAATGTAGTAAGCATGAACAAATTGAGGGATATGAAAAAGAATGGAGAAATGAAGCACTCGCTACTCAGTATGTAATGAGCACTGCATGTCAAAAAGTTTAGACTGAGAGGGCAGCATGTTCAAAATTTCTCCAAAACTATGTTGTAATTATGTAGTATAAACAAAAGGGAGAAGGAAAGAGAAAGAAAACACAAATAACAGAAATACAGAGTAACAAGGAAAAAACGTAGTAAAGTATACCACCAATCAAAATTTTCAAATTGTTCTCCCATTTGAGTTGTCCAGCAATTTTTCATGTTTCCTAATAAGAAACTATTTGTGTGGTTGTATTGTTTCTTTCCCTTCAAAATAAATTAATTTGATATTGTCAAATAAGCATGCCAAGTAAAAATGAAGGAAATTTTTTGGGATGACGGGGGAATAAGTTATCGGGTATAATTATCACGTATGCGTCAGTCCCAAACCCTATTATGTATCTCATACCATGGTTTTAAAAAGCAAAAAAGGCGGACTGCCTCGAGGCAACAAGGGTGAAGGTTTTTGGATCAGAAACGTAAGCCAAGTAGGCTTATGTGATCCATAGACCTTAATATGTTGGTGGTCAAGGCGGTTTGAGGCGTGAGGCGTAAGTGAGGCCGTAAGCCTTACTCCTAATGAATACTCACTACGTCCCAAATTAAGGTGCATGTTTACTATTCACAATGTCAAACTTCATTCACCTTCTTTCCCTATTTTTGTTACTCATTTGATAAAATAATAGTCATGTCACTTCTTGTTTTGTAGAACTTTTTATGTAGTTTTTAAATAAGTAAAGTTTATTTTTTAATTTCATCCCAATTTTCAAATAAATGTATTGAAAATAACTTAGTCAAACATCGTAAACCGAAATAGGCGATTTAAATTGGAACATAGGGAGTATTTAAGATAATTATTGGGTCTTTTTTAAATATTGGGCTTGGCCACTTTTTTAAAAAACTCCATAAACTTGTTGATAAGTAGGATTTGTCTATCACTTCTGCCTCTCTATCTTTAGTCTTCAACCTAGAGCTTCGGTTAATCGGTTTCTCCTTCAACTTTAGTCTTCAATTTTATTGTAATAGAATGAAATCTCATTGGAGTATTGACTATTGGGGCGTTTGTGACTTGATGCTTTGTGTTACTATTTGTAATTTTCATAAGTCTCTTTTTCGTAATTAATATTTAAGATAGTATTACTTTTTGAAAAATTCATGAATTGAAGTTTTATATTTCAGCATCATGGTTAATAACTCATCGAGCAAGAGATTATTTTAGTTTGGAGTACTATTCTTGTTTTAAAAGAAACCCTTGTATAACTTTATCACTTATCTGACATAAGTTAATCCTATCTTTCACACTAATTCTATCACTTAAATTAAGACCTATGTAAATGTGTGTAACGTGAGTACGTGAGCTTGTTCAATCTTTCACGCTCGGACGAAACATATAGAAAGACTAGCATTTGGACGATCGCTAAAAACATAGTTGACTGACATATTCACCAAGACTCTTTTTGGCTTGAGAGCAAGTTACATATAGGTTTCTATTTGACATGTTAACTTGTACTAATGTAGTCTACAGACGACTGGCATCCCATATGTGTGTACATGATCGATGACAAGACTTTTCATCTTTTGTACTCTCACCCTCACATAAACCCTAAAATACATCATGAAGTCATGAATTGAGGGGCACAAGATTGACATTCATCAATACATCAGTGAAGCTACATCTGTGATAGAATATCACTGAAAATATGGGTTGTGTCAAGTAATTTACTCAACAAGAAATTAAGAATACATCCATGGTACATAATTTATGATTAACTATTAATAAACCCCCTCCATCCAAAAATTTTCTTCCTTCTTCACTAATCCAAAATCGCGGGAATTTTTGTTTACTTGTGTGTTTTATTTGATTATTTAATAAAATAAAACTGTCTTGTAACCACTCGTTTTGTAAAGCTTTTGATATAGTTTATAAATATGTAAGTTTTATTTTTTATTTATATACCAAACTTTAAATAAAATGAATTGAAAAAACTTAAAATCTCACTTCATTTTTCGTAAAGTGAAGATAATTATGGGACGGAGGGAGAAGTTTATAAATCACATTGATAACTAACCTTAAGATACAAAAAATTAGAATTCACACATAGAGCAAGGTTGCTAGGCAGAGTCCACGGCGTGGTTGTCCAAGCAACAAGAGATGCACCATCTAGATCATCAAGTATGGGGAAAGATACCATGATTTCAGGATCAGGAACTTCCTGCACACAATAAGATGATTTGAAATACTGTAGCATGTGTATAATGAAACAAAGATGGTAGAATTAAAAGAGTAACAGAGTGTTCAAAGATATGCAAACTCACCAAGCAGGAATATCATACATCAGAATAAGCAAGTTTGAATGACAGCCAATTTTGAAAGTTTAAACATGATAGTTGGCATCCAACTATTATTGAATATTGTTAACCCAAAAAGATTAAGTAAATCTAATGTCTAAGTATTTCCCACTTAGAAGTAGGGTAGCCTCTATCCCCAGAAAGAAGCAGTTTCCATGAAGAGCGCAGATAAGGTAGATAATGGGAAGTTTCAGAAGATGTTAAAATTTTGAGGGTGAAACTTTTGAGGATTCTTTGAAATTATTTTAAGCAGTAGAAAAAGGCATCCAAAGATATAACGAAACATGAATGATAAAAAAACCTCTTGGAAAATAGACATGGAATGCATAAAACAACATCAAAAGGACATTAGGGCAGTGTACATAAAATTGGGTATGCAAACTATCACCTAAACAACACATCCCTAAACAACACATCCCTAATCAGCAAAAAGGTTATATACAGAAACAGAGCATCCAGAATCTAGAAGGCTAGGAAATTAATAGCAATCAAAACTAAGGAATGAACCCCGTAACGAAATAAAAGTACCATTTTCAACTAAAAACACTACATTTGGTAAGGCGTTCTGTGAAAACTAATGTCAAGCCTAACTTGATCCGATTGAATGTAACATCAAAAGCTCTCGAATATCTCATCTCATATTTTGATAAGTAAGAACATTGTAACAGGCAATCCATGACTAGGGCTTCCCAAGATTTAAGGGATCAGAACGAATCATAAGCCTATTAGGATTAGAGTGCCAAAAGCCCAAAAGAAGCTCATGAAATATCATCTTTATAATTAACCCTTTATTAGTACAAGGGGAAGTTACGGTAATCAAGAGAATGAAATATTTGGAAGATTGTTTTAGTTATGGGAATCAGGCCCGATTCCATGATTTGGTTTGGTGAGATTTTAACACCCACAAATTAAAGTTTTAAAAAGAATCTTCCACTATCCAACTATGACTATCCTGTTACACACTGTTCTTTCATTCCCCCAATCACGTTTTCTCCCTCTAGCTTCCTACAATATGAATTTCTAGGCATGCCTTTTTCATTTGACCACTTCAGAATGCACTCCCTAGCACTTTCGTTCAACTAAATTTTATACACAAATAGTTGATACATATAAAAGGTGCATCTGCAGCAGCACAGCAAACTTTTGAAAATGAAAGCACAGCAGTGACTGAATTGTGTACCTTGTAACTTGAATTTGCTTCAAAATTGGATAAAGGAGTTTTGCAACCTGTGCTATATGGCATGACCTGAGAGCCAATGACTGAAATCAGCAAATACAACTAAAATAATTAAGCACACAACGAATAAAAGTGAATCAAAAACCTTGAAGCCTTTATATATGAGGCCCTTTTCAAACAACTGTGCAAAAACCCACCACACGCTCTCCATAAAGCTCAAGTCCATAGTCTTGTAACCATTTTTGAAATCAATCCAGCGACCCGTCCTGACCACAGTCTCCTCCCACTCCGTAACATACCGTGTTACAATTGCCCGGCATTCCTCATTATACTTGTCAATGCCCATCTTAATCACATCTTCACGGCTCTTAATTCCAAGCTTCTGATCAATCTCATGCTCGACGGGTAGCCCGTGGCAGTCCCATCCAAACCGTCTTGTAACATGGTAACCTGCCATGGATTGGTACCGTGTGACAATGTCCTTGATTGTCCCGGCTAGTATATGGCCGTAATGCGGTAGACCTGTTGCAAAAGGTGGGCCATCGTAAAAGATGTACTCTGGCATATCCTTAGTCCGCTCTAGCTGGGTCGCAAACGCCTTAATTTGATCCCACAACTGAAGAATTTTCTCCTCTTGTTTGGGGAAGGAGAAATCTTTACCTTCACATACATCATCCATGCCCAGAATCTTTGACCGTCTGTTTCAAAATAATTTGTGGGAGGGGGATTGAATTGAGTTCTTAATTGTATTGCATAGAATTCATATGTTTTGGGATAAATGGGATAAATGGATAAATTTAAAATTCAATTAGAATGTCATTGAAATGAATTAAATTACTTTTAAGTAATATTTTCACTCCATAAATAAAATATCATATATTACTAACAAATTCAACCACGATTTAGATATATAATGAAAACTACCATCATTCACAAAGCAACACTACCATGCATAATCAACCATGCATTTCTCAAGTGTAAACATTAAATGGGTTCAATATGAGGTATTAGAGATGATGCTTAACAGCAATTGTTAAAACATTGGTACGAGAATATCCTGCATTTAAGCCAGTACAGAACAATAATACATCAAGTCTTGGAACTACTTAAAAATAGAAAGGGGTTTTATAATTTAAAAAAAAAAGATTTCAAAATATATGTTTATTCAGTTGCAACATAGACAAAAATTTACATACGGAGTATAAAAACATATTTTAAAAATTAAAACATCAAATTTTATGAATGGTTTTCCATACTGGAATGGGCAATTTGCTCTCATTTATAAATAAGCAAAATTGACAAAGGCAAACTCACAACTGGGAGGCAATACAATGTGGACGGTGGCAGCTAAGGCTGGAAACGGGTCGGGCTCGGTTCGGATCTGAGTACACCCTAAACCGACCCGAAAAGATTTTGGGAAATTTTTTGGCCAGAACCCGAACAGTCGCAACCCGACTTATAAACCAAAACCCAACCCAAACTCGGGGTAGACGGCTAAAGTCCCTCGCTAGAACGGATGTCGCCGGTTGGAGCGAAGGTTGCCGGACAAGAGGAGTCTGCGTGCGATTTTAATTTCAGACGAAGACAGGAGATGTGAGATGCGAACAAGAGAGGCGACGTCTAGCTTCTGCGAGATGCGGGATGATGGGGATTCATAATCCGGCTCTCAGAGTGTGCGAGTCTGCGGAATGTGAAGACTAGAGGAGCGCGGCTGCGATACTTGCGAAAACCAGAAGAATAAGGTTATGCACTTAGGTCATCGAATGGAGGAGCCCGTAAATAAGGTCATCCTGCACTTTTTTATAATCTTACTCAAATACTCCATAATAGGAATACTCAGTGTTAATTAATAGATATTTTTATTATCCAAATTTAAAGTATATTTTTGAAACAGTAATCTCTATATAATTAAATGTAAACATTTAAAAAATACATTAACTATAAATAATTTATGAATTATTTAAATCTTATAAAAAAATCTTTTAAATTTAAAATCAAATACATATCTTTAATTAGAAAAAACCATTTTAGGAAAACACTTCATTATAAATGATCATTTTAAGAATTAATTCTAAATTTAGCAAATAAAAAATACCAAATTATCCTCAATTAATCCTCATTTGAATAACATTATTTACGGAGGACCATCTTGGGAATAAATCTCAATTATAGAGGACCACATAAGTAATTAAAACTTAATGGGGATTGATTTGGAAAAACACCTTATTACAAAAGACTAATTTACGAATTTACTATTAAATTCTTTTATAAAAAAAAAAAAGAAAACCCCCAAAGATCAGCCACACTAGGACTGAGACACGGCCTAGATTCCTACAGGAGGCAGTAGTGAAGAATTTTCCGCAATGGGCGAAAGCCTGACGGAGCAATGCCGCATGGAGGTAGAAGGCCCACGGGTCACCCAAATAGAAGTAAATCATTATGTATAACCCTAAAATAATATATCCAAATTAAGAGTTAATTAAATTAAATAATTATCACGACACATTATTAGCGCTATCCTGAAAACTAAAATTGGCGGAAACTATCCCCCTTCTGTCAATCTCGTTTTGGCCGCCGACTAGCTTCTACGTTCCATATAATAATAACAATTGCTGTCGTTGCCGCCATCTAATTCCAGTGTCATCGCCGCCGCCGCTGTCGCCCCTCTCAGATTCATACCCCACCTCCATCGTTCTCTCTCAAAGCGAGGTCCATGACCGATAGGGGCGGTTGGTCATCCGGCCGCGTCCAGAATTAGAGGGTTGGAATTGGAGATCAGAGCGATTGGTCATCCGGCCTCCATAATTGTCTCGGATCATGCATAATTTCAAATGATTAAAAGTAATGGAGGTGTGTACGTTCGATTATAAACATACTCATTTCCAATATGTGGCAAAGTTTACTCCTAAAACTAATTTCATTTACAACAAACCTCATCTTGTGGATGACAATTGGTGGAATATAACAATTTTGCACCCAATTTTTCCCACAACACCCTTCTAAAATGGTGAAGAAACCTATATAGGGTTGTGATTGAACACTACACTCTTTAGCACTTGACACAATTAAAAATTTTCTTTGGAAAATAAATTTGCAATATGGAGAACTCGGAATGACATTTACTAGTCATGAGTTGGGGTGGACATTTTTCTGGTTCACAAAATTGGAATTGGCATCCCTCGTTCTTGTTTAATTGAGTTTTTGTAACTTTAGTTGACATTGTTTTTTGACAAACAATTGTTTTAGTTTGCTTTAGATGTTAGCCATTGTTGGAAAAAATCACCTCAAATTTCTAGCAGAAGCAATTAATAATTTCCCCGTCTTTGTGTTGTCAAAATGGGCAAAATCCTATGACCGATCAAGAATAGTAAACACGACAACAAGCAATCTTCACTCAAAAGTGAGAAAACTATACAAAAACGCAGCAATAAACAGAGGCAGTTTTACCGACATCGAGAGGTCAAAACAACAATCCCACTGTTGGATATGAAAAAGAGGATATCAGGAACAACATACTAAAATTTCATCCTGATCGAAGCTCGTTTGGTCGTCGGTCGGAGCACAAAACCAGGCTGCACCTCTCTTTTTCTCTCTTCTTCCTTCTCTCGGTTTTACTCTTTTTTTTCTTATCTGTTTTTCTCCGTTGCTGCTCTTTCTTTCTGCCCGTGAGAAGCCAAAACAAAAGGCTTTTGCCTTTACAATAAAGTGGCAACCCCACTTTGACCATTCCCTTTCTTTATAATAATAATAATAATAATAATAATAATAACAATAATAATAATAATAATAAATATTATTATTGTTAGAATATAAATAAATGTTCTTGGGCCACAACCACAAGCTTGAGCTTTTGGTTGAATTGGTTCCTTGACATGGTATCAGAGCCTCGTTGGCTAAGAGGTCACGGGTTCAAAACTCAGCGCCACCCAGTTTTAAAAAAATTAAGGTTTCACGTGCAAGGCTTGAAAAAGACTACGTCTGCACGTGAGGGGGCGTGTTAGAATATAAATAACTGTTTCTGGGCCACAATCACAAGCTTGGACTTTTGGTTGAGTTGGTTCCTTGACATGGTATCAGAGCCTTGATGACCAAGAGGTCACGAGTTCAAAACTCACCGTCACCCAGTTTAAAAAATTAAGGTTTCACGTGCAAGGCTCAAAGAGGTCACGCCTGCACGTGAGAGAGCGTGTTAGAGTGTATAACAATCATTCTTGGACCACAAACACAAGCTTGAGCTTTTAGTTGAATTGGTTCCTTGACATGGTATCAAAGAGTGGGTATGGACAACTGGATTGGGCTATAAGACACTTGACCTGAACCACATTAAAATATTGAATCCAATCGGTTAGTTAGTTCAACTCAAGACCTTATATACCGATTAATTTCCTCACACTTTTTCGATGTGGGATGCCCTTTAACAATTAAGCTAGATAGTTGTCCATGTGCCAAAAATTTAGAAGAAAACGATAGTTGTTTCGCCTGACATATATCATGGCGTACATAAATGTTGATAAAAAAAACCCCTCCGGTGTCAACCACAAGGCTCCGATACATTGTCAAGGAACCCGCCCATGCCTACTAATTCGTAGTCAAAGAGTGCTACACTTTAACCAAAAAAGTCAAATTATGACAATCTTTTTTGTTATGGGCATCGTTTCCCTTTTGCACTGAATATTGTTTTTTGGTGTGTTGAGGTTCTTATTCTATGAATAGGTTTTGGGGGTTTGTTTTGTTTGTAAAATGTTATCAAATTTTAATAATGGTTATAGAAGATATAATATTACGAAATAAATTAGGAATGTAAATACTATTTGAATAGATCAGATAAATACTTTTATAAACATTAGATCCACAATTCATTTTGTCTACTTTACTTTAGGAAGATATAAAGTAAAGATTATATTATCCATTAATGTTGTTGGGTAAATCTTGTGAAAAAAAATTTTAACGACATATTATTTGCTAAGTAATGACTTACAAATTCGAAGTAATATATACTCCGTAACATGCAGTAATCATAACCCCAAAAATGTCCAAACAATCCTCTTTTCACCTTTTTTCGACCTTTTCCCGTATTTAGAAGGTCTCATCACTCCCGAAACGTGTCACTGTTACTTACAATAACTTAAATCAATAATAAAATAACAGTAAGCTTGATCACCACTCATGCATGGTAAACATATTATCCCAGATGATTAAAGAAATTAAAGGAAAACGAAGAGAGTTAATTAATATTAGAATATAAATAACTGTTTCTGTGCAACAAACACAAGCTTGAGCTTTTGGTTGAATTGGTTCCTTGACTAAGGTATCGGAGCCTTGTTAGAATATAAATAAATGTTCCTGGGCCACAACCAAAAGCTCAAGCTTGTGGTTGTGGCCCAGGAACATTTATTTATATTCTAACAATTATTATTACAATATTACTCCACCTCTAAACAAATTAGATTTTAAAAATTGTTTAGAAACTCTTTCCCCCAACAGCCATTTAATGTTTTACATTGAAACCTGATAGCTTCGTTGGTGATATAAACACAACCCGCATTGTTTATGTTCACAATCCGACCAAACGTTGAACACATCGGCAACATCGCTGATCTGGAGGAGATCAACGAGCACGTCCTTGGAGAAGGTATGGAATGAAGGCGTAACATATGTAAACAGAGATCAGAGAAGAATGCTTCTTTAATATGTATCCCCAAGAATGATGGTTTTGAGATTCACATACACACGTACACTTGGTGAAAGACCAAAGCACTAGTGGATGCTAGCTACATTATGATTGATTAATTCATTTGATATATGTTCATCGGACAAATACATACACTTTAGAAAAAAACTGGGTGAAAATTAAATATTTATACATATATAATAAATATAAGGCCGGTATGCATGTGCAAACAAATTGCATATTATTGCACATACATACTCCATCTTGAGACCCCCCCCCCCCAGAATGAATTATCTTTTTGTGCTAAAATTGTACACTTCTTTGACTTTGGTGTGGTTATTGTTGTTGGTGGTGGTGAAGTTGATGATGAGGCAGTCGAGTTGTTGTGCTAGCTAGCATGTGCGTCCGCGGCGGCAAGCAAGAGGACCGGCGGAGGCGGTGATAACGCCGACCATAGAAGATGACTTGGCACCTAGGCTCGAAGCTCTTGCGTAGCTGGCTGACGCGCCCGCTCCAGACCGAACGAAATAGGCCCCGTTCAGCATCAAGTCCCCCTCTGATCTCCAATTCCAACCCTCCCAAGCACTCTCTGATGATGCCTCTACCCTCTTTGTCACCTATACATTTTTCATCAAACACACCATTTCATTTCTTATGTATGTGTTTATGTGTGTATCAGTAACGAAACGATTCAACTAAAAACTCCTGGCTTGTGGTTCAAAGACCTAATTGGTTTCAACTACTTACTTTTTTTTGGAGTTTTTCTTAAACTCTCTGAATTATCGACAGTGTTATCATTAATTAATTCGTGACTGTATATATATATGCATGCATACCTCTTTCGCGAAAGGATTGGCCGGGGCAAGGTAGCGGTTGCCTTGACTGTTGATGGTTGGGTCGGCGCTTCCACCGATGGCATACATTTCCCAGTGAGTGTAGTCATTGTTCACCACATGGAAGTACCCATGCCTACACCTTCATTTTTTTGTTTTGTTTTGTTCATAAAGAGTATTATTAATTGTTAGGTAGTTCAAGTATATAATATAGGTAGATGTTTACACCTCATAAAACTCAATTCTCTCATGTTTTCATCAGTTTTAGGGACTATTATTAATGTTACCTAGGCATCCTCTGAATGAGACCCTCTCCAAAGTGGTTATATGCAATTGTCACTTGCATTTGCTTGTCTCTTATGTAAGAGTCACTGTGACCCAACAACATAACCTGCACCGCCATTCATTTAAAATATTATCAGGAGTACTTAGGAAATGAAACACTCAAACAAAAACAAATCTCGTCTGCACGTATGTTAGAATATAAAAGGGAAATTTACATATGTAATACTAAAACATAGTGAGATTCCTAATGTAGTACTACAACAATAAAATTGAACTTTTGATTGAATAAGTGAAAGAGATAGTTAAGATGGACCTCATTGTGGTGGGCAAAATGGTTATTGGAAATGGTAAGGGAAGTCGAGCCCATGACAGCATCAACCAAACCATCAGCACAGTTAGAGAGGGAGTTGTGATCAATCCAAACATGGCTGGACCCAAAGATGGAAATGCCGTCGCCGTCGGCCATTGTCCGCCAGCCGAAATGGGACGGCGAGCTCCTGACCATGGCGTTTCCGGTGGGCTTGCAGTCATGGACGTGCAAACCGTGGATGATCACATTGGTGATGAACTGGATGGTGATGCAAGCTCCATAAGCGATGTGCACGTTGGTCCCGCGTCCGTCGATGGTCTTGAAGCTGTTCATGATCAGCTCCTCCTTCAGAGTGATCACCATGTCCCTCTTGAAGATGATCCACAGCGGTTCGTCCTGGATGACCGCATGACGGAGTGTGCCCGGTTTCGGGTTCACCGGGTCATCGTCCCGCGGGTCCGTGACGACGTAGAATTTACCGTCACGCCCTCCGATCGCATTCCTCCCAAACCCGATCCCACAGTCTGCTAGACGCCTGCGGTTGTTGTGCCAATTCGGGTCGCAACGCCAGCAGTCGTCTATCGGATTCCCAGACCCGCACGAGAAGTATCCCAAATTTCTCCTCTCTATAGAACCATTCCGGATGCTCCTGTTGACAGAAATAGATATCAGAACATTTTCAATAGCGGAGTGAACATTTAATTTACTTGGAGTAGAAAATTTCTTAAACTATCTCTCTTTTCGTAGTTTTACGTCTCTACTTTCCTTACTTTATGTATCTCTTGTGAACCTTTTTGTGTGGAGCTTGAGTCGGGGTCTCATGGAAACAGTCTCTCTACCTTTGGAAAAGGATAAAGTCTATGTACACACACCTTTCCAAACCTTACTTTTATAGGATTTAACTAGATTGTTGTCTTATTAGAACCATATCAAATCAGAAATGAATTTAAATATAATTACAATCAAATTAGAATTTCATCAAACCAGATCAGAATCAATCAGATAAGTTGAAGAAAACAAAGTCTAAGTAGCAGAGAGATTAGTGTCACATGGATAAATCAGGGTTTGATAAAAAATTATACACATTAATACTATGTCTCAAACACACATGGGATTCAACTTTTTTTTAAAGTAACAAAAGAGTGAAAAGTGTGTCGGTGGAAACGATTATATAGCAAATCATACCAAACTCACTTGACTTTGTTGGATCTACAATTTGTTGCCATAATTATGTGCAGGGAAAATCTGGTTAGTTTTACCATTGGTAGGGTAGTTGAACCGACTGTTGGCATAGGGTAGTCCTCCGGCCGGTATGTGTGTAGGATACTGTATACTCCCACATTTAAGGCCTTTTGTCCTAAAAGGTTAGTTGCACATGGGTGACACATCCATTCGACAATGATGCCAATCGACGACACACTGCCATGAGAGAGTCTGGCAACCTTTTTTTTTTGAAGTGCTTTTACGTTAAAAAAGGAACTATTTAGAGTGATTGAGATTATTTTTTAAAAACTTTTGTACTAAAACTTTATGGGAGAGTTTTTTGGTCTCATAAAACCTTTTTGGGAGAGTTTTTTGGTCCCAAAAAACTTTGGAGCACTGATGAGATGGAAATTTGGAGAGTAAACCCAATTAAACTATTACTTCTTGCTTTCCATTTTTCTCCCAATTCATGGCATTCAATTGTTTATATATTCCTTTGTGATCTTTCTTTCTTATTCAACTTTATTAGTTGTGACATATTTGATGTATTTTACATAGTACTCGGTACATTTTTTTTCACTTTGTTTTCAGCAGACATTATTTTAATAATGAGCTATTATTAGAACTTATTGGTCAAATTAACTAATCCAATCAATAATTCAATCATGTTGGCATAAAAATCCAACAAGCAACTCCCAAAGATGGCCATAATTTTTTCACATGTGTAAATAGTGTGTGCACTGTATGACCGAGATTGTAATTTTGGCTACCTTAAAATTCTCAAAAATAGCATCTCGTCAAAGTGTCTAGCTGGCATAATCGTGGGTTAACAACTCACAACTCTGAGTTTGACATTTTTTTTAGGAACGAAAAGAGTAAAACAGTGAGTTTTAGATAAGAAAATTATTGGCATGGTAGAAAGATGAAGAAAAGGTGGTAAAAGATGAGAGGGGGAACCTACTCCGCAACCATGGATGCAACCGCTTCAGGATCATCAATGTGTTCCCTCGACGACGGCGCCACTTCAACCTCCGCCGACCTGAACGGCCATCCATCATAATGGACAACCAAAAACTTTTGCACATTAATGCCACTTTCAACTAACCCCGCCGGCCCACACCCATATACATTTCTCGATCAAAACACCCCGGCCCAACAAATATATCCCACACAATTGTCAAACACCAGAGTGATATGACTATTTTAATTACACAGAGTATATTATAGCAAATGCCAAATGCATATATGTAAAAAAAAATTATTTAGTTTGATCATGCGAATGATAGACGAGACAAATATAGTGGAACCGAACATGATTTCTACGGTAGTCATATTTGAGTGTATAAACTAAAAATGTAAAGAGAGAAAATACATCGTCTATAACTGGGTCCTCTAAGGCAAAGGTGGTTTTCTTTAAAAAGTTTAATCATTATTAAGTCATTTTTTAGAAGCCTGGAAGGTATTCCACCTAATAAATGTCCTCTATATTTTTCAAAGGACAAATACGGGCTTGGAGTAGGGGACAGAAAAAAATCCAGGCAGCATTTATTTAGGTTAATTAATGTTTAAATTTATTCAGCTAGAATTAATTTATTTTGTATTAGAGAATAGTGCACCATTTACCCTGAACTCTTTGAAAATTGCATAGTTTACATCTGAACATTAAAAATTGCATCAGTTACCCCCAAACTCTTCAAAAATTGTACAATTTACCCCTGAACACTAAAAAATGCACCAAATATCCCTGAACAATTTAAAACGTTGCATCGTTGGTCCTAAAATACTAGATAGGGAGTGTCTTGCTCCCACGCACCGAAATTATGAGTATGATTCATCTGACCTTGTGAATTCTTCAAAATATCCTTTCAAACTTATCTTCTTAATTTAAATGTTTTAGGGGTAAATCGTACAATTTCTGAAGAGTTCAATAGTATTTGATGCACTTTTTAATATTCAGGAGTAAATCTTGCAAATTTTGAGGAATTCATGGTATCTGTTGCACTTTTAAATATTCAGTAGTAAAACGTGCAACTTACGAAAAATTTGAGGATAAACACTTCTTCAAAACGAACAAATTCTTAAATCCTCGTAAATTTTTTTTATTTTTTTTGAAGATAAATCCTCCATAGTTTATTTGTACTCCATAATTTCATTTTCTTTAATTTTTCATGTCAATTCAAAAGTAAAATCTTTTTATGCATGATATGAGGTGTAAGCAAGAAAGTAAAGACTAGAGAGTACTCAAACTTGGATGAGGGAATATATTATACGGTGTATCATATGTGTATGACGTATAAAAGGATTGGTGTCGTGGCCGCAATTATTACGGGGTTCATTCGGAAGAAAGAAAAGTGCATATGAAGTCACCGTCTACTTATCTAGTGGTAAAATCATGTACGGTTAAAACAGATTTGAGGGGTTAATTTCGGAAGTACGGACAATCAACGTACGTATGAGAAGAATGGAAGACGAATTTTCCTAAAACAGGGGAGTTTTTTAAATTATTTTAAAAACAAGAATTAAGCTACTTGTAACTTGTAACCAAACAATTGTACCTTAAATTATACTCCATATGTCCACTATAGATCTTCCCAGTTACTATTCACAGAGTCAAACTTCACTCATTTTGTTTGCTCATTTTCACTAGTCATTTCATAAAATAATATAGTCTTGTCACTTCTAGTTTTGTAGAATTTTTCATGTAGTTTATTACTATATAAATATTATTTTAAAATTTTACTCCTATAATCAATTAAATTAAATTAAAAATAAAGTCGGTCAAGCCTTGTAACGCGTAATGGAAAGATCTTAGGTGAACGGATGGAGTACATCATAGGTATACACTTTTGTTTTGTATCAGTATGATATTAAGATGATGGTTCACACAGGCACAAAATATTAGTTTAAGTTTTTAATGCACTAACATACTGTGTCAGTGTGAATATCAAAATGTTAGTACAAACTTTGGTGTACACTTTGAAGTACATTCAATGTAAAATCAACTACTTCCTCCGTCCCATGAAACCTTTCTCATTTCTTTTTTTATCCGTCCCACAAAACACTTCTCATTTCTATTAAAAAGTCACTTTTACCCCTTACTTTTTCATGCCCTAACTATCACATCATACCTTTTTACTAATAATCTATCCATCAAATCATACTTTTACCCATCACATCAAAGAACATTTTTGGAAATTCAATACCAAAATACACTCCCCTTAAATCCTTCCTAAAAAGTAAAAGTCTCATGTTTAATGGGACGGAGGGAGTATGATGCTAGGAGTATCCAAGAAATGTACCATAAAGTGTACACCAAAAATATGCTCACACTAAGACAATATGCAAGTATAATGAAAAAAATTACACTATCATTTTGTGTAAGTGTGAATCATCACACCAATACACCAATATAGCACTTGCACAAAATGAAAATGCATGTACTTGTACTCTACAACTTTTGATGTATAAGTAGCTTAAATCTTTAAAAAAAGTTTTTTTTATCAACAGAATTGCAGTTGAGATCCAGGATTTCAAGGTCTCAGATTGCTCCTGGTGTTGGACCAAAGAGCGAATGACTGAGCCGACTCGCTATAACAAAAGCGTACCGAGTTAGTTACTGCAGTATCTATCATCTAGATCATCATACCTTGCCGCCATTGATGAGTAGTTGGAGCTCTGCAATCCCCCCTTCTCCTCGGACCTGAAATCAAAACAAAATCAGAAAAATCTCAGGCAGGCAAAATGCAGCCATTTTCAGGCTCAGTCGTAGATTTAGTTCCTCCGCCAAATATACAGAGTGAAGCGAAAACGAACGGGAAATGTTCTCAGAGAAGTGTAATTAATTAATTAAACAGAAGCGAAAATCAACGGAGTGAAAAATGCGAGCGCATCGGACCTGAAATCGGAACCTCCATTAATGCGGACTCTGGCAAAAGCACCGGCGAGGAAGAAGAGAAGCAATGGAACGGTTAATACCAGAGAGGCGGATCGTTTCTTACGGATCGCCATTGCAGATTTGCAGCTACTCTGCTAAATTACGTGCCCTGCCACTCTATATCTCTCTCGCTAGATCTCGGGGGAGAGAAGGAGAGATATCCGGAGAGAGATAATTGGAGAGAGAGAGAGAGAGAATGTGGAAATGGGAAGAAGCTCTTCTTATACTGGAAAATCAATTAAACTGCCAACTTTAAATAAACTGTGCCGCGTGGCCGGCTACCAGAAAACGTTCCATTAACGGCCGTCCAGTGGAAGAGAGAGTATTTATTAACGCCGTATTCCTTGACCGTGGTTAAACTGAGGCTAATTTACCTGCGGAGTAATAACTGCAATAAACGGTCTTCCCTCATGTGCAACTGTGCAGGCTGCAGACAAGTATCCTACGTGCGTACTCCGTATTTCGTTTTTGTATTCATGTTACTACTTAATAATGCATCATTCTCTCCGTTCTAAATTACGGAGTAGTTTTTACGGAGTAATTTGTACTCCCTCCATTTTAGAGTATTTGTCCACTTTCATTTTTGTACATCATCCAATGCACTTTTTAGTTCATTTTATCTTGTAATTTGTATATTAAAAAATTATAGAAATTACAAATTAATAATCTATCTGTTAAGACATATCAAACAATATCACACATGACTATATTTAGGCTTACACATTGAGAGAATTTGATGAGTCAAAGTGCTTAGATGAACACTTCTACTTTCTATTAAAAAACATTTTTACCCTTACAAATGTTATCCACTTATCACATCAAATTTTTCACTAATAATTTATCCATCACATTATACTTTTACCTATCACAACAATGACAAGATTTGAAAGTCAGGCCCAAATAACTCTTATTATATTTTGGCCTAAAGGTAAAATATAATGAATTTTGGTGAACGGATTACAATTAATTCTTTATTTTGAAAAGTCCATTCAACAATTAACTTTAAAACTCTTTAATTTCACTTAATTTTTGAGTCCTTCTCAGTAATTAATTAATTATCAATTAATTAATTCTGATAGGCTTATTTTCAGGGCATTAAATTTTCTAACAAATTCAGACAATCTATTTTTTACTTTTAAACATTTTTCTTAAATTTCGTAATATAAAACTAAAACGATTAATTTGGGATGGATAGAGTAATTTTATTCATCACTATCTTGTACTCCCCCGTCCGGATTTCAAGTTCCCATTTTGACTTTTGGTCATTTTTATGGGAAGTTGACTTTGTGTACAATTTGTCCAAAATGCCCCTAGCCTTCTCTGCTGCACAAGTCCAATTTCAATTTACTCTGCCTGCGGTTTTTTCCGATGGAACAAAGGCGAATCTCCGCCCTAAATCTATTTCTGCGGAAATGGATCTCCAGATCCCCACAACAGTGGCATAAAATCTTCTCTGCATAGGATCGAAGAAGGGCACAATTTCAATTGACTTCTCGATTCAAACCACTTTGGGGCTTCAAGAGTTGAATCCTCTCCACAAATTAATTTGGGTTCAAGAATTAACTCCCCTGCTCATATGGAGTACGGACTTCAATTGACTCCTCCGCACAACTTCAATCGAATCCTTTTCTCTGATCTGCGCAGGATCGAAGAACAACATGACAAATCGCGTTCTTCCAGATTTGAAAAAAACAATGGGCTTCAAGAAAAAGAATGAAACGAAGAAAAAGAGGAGAAGTGGGAGGGGGAGAGAAAGGGAAGATGATGACTAGATCTAGTCGAGAAAAGAAAGGGGAGAAAGAAAAAGAAGAAGAAAAAGAAGAAGAAGAAGGGGGAGGAGGAGGAAGAAAACGGGGAGGAGAAGTAAAAGGGGGAGGGGGAAGAGAGAGAGACCAAACCTGGTGTGGCGGAGAAAGGAAAAGGGAGAAAGAAGAAAAAGAAGAAAGAAATGGGAAAAAAAGAGGGGAAGATGAAGGGTATTTTAGGGAGAGTGCCTATGAAAACGTATAATGGGAACTTTATTTCCGGACGGAAAAAAGCGTAGATTGAGAACTTAAAATCCGGACGGAGGGAGTAACAAATATTTAAATACTACTCACTTTGTCTCAAAATAATCGTCTCACTTTGAACAACGTCGTGCAAAATATCATTTTCTTTAAATTATTTTATTTACAAATTGATATAGAAATTAAAAGTACAAATTAAATATTTAAAAATAACATAAAAATTCCTAAATAACAAGATGTGGCAAAAATATTTATTTTATCAAAACTAATAAAAATTCAAAAATAGATGAAAGTTAGTGAGGAATTAGAATAACAAAAGAGTATCATTTTTGAAGAAATGAAGTCTTCTAATTGGTTCTACTCATCTTTCCAAAAAGTGGATTCTCCTCTAAATAATTATGTACATACATCAATTATTTCAAGATTTACACGGAGTACTCCCATTGTTTCAAAATGAGTATCTTACTCCATCAAAATTCAAAGTGTGGGAAAAAACTTTTGGCTCATAAATTGAGGGTCATATTTGAAAACGGACAGCTACAATGATTCATTGGTAAAAATGACAGATTCATAAACAAACCCCCACCTGCCCCCCCCCCCCTACAAATAAATCACCAATTTGACGGGGTTAGTAGGGTAGGAACCATTAATTTTTAATTCTACTAACGAAACAACATAGGTGCATGTGGTAAAATATGACACTCAATTTGAGAATTAAAAGAACGTTCGGATCAAAAGAAATGAATTTCTTACTTTTTTAGGGAGTATTTGTTTANATAAATATTTCAGTTCTTTGAAAAGAAAACATTAGTTTTACATTTCTACTCCGTACTTTTTTCCGATAAACTCCATATTTTTTTCCGATAAATATTTCAGTTCTTTGAAAAGAAAACATTAATTTTACATTTCTATTAGTTTATATATAGTATATATATAAACTCCATATTTTTATTTTTTCTGTAAACATGTGCAAGCAAATATAAGGTAACGATAAAGATAAGATTTAATTTGTACGTTGGGTTCCCTCTATATAAAACTCCTGGATCGTATCGTATCTAGGACTAGCATGGGGTTATCATTTTGATACCACATGAACTTAATTTGGAGTCTCGTTTATTTGTCCCAACCCACATGGCCCTTACCGCTGATTTTATTTATAATAATAAAAAATATAGTCCACCGTTGATCAAGCATTGCGGCGGTGGTATTAATTACGGCGGAAAGGGTGTTGCAAACTTACAATTAGACAAAACCTTACATGTCTCTTAAGCCATTAAGAATTTATAAAAGAGAAATATACTAAAGTCACAAATGGGAAAACCAAACTAGTATGGTACCGCATCAGATCGTAATGGTACCAAACCGTTTATAGTATTTTCAAATGAGATTGATTTTTTAATCACGAACAGAAACCGAACTCATATCAAATGGGACGAGACCGTGATACAAATATTTAAAATCGATTATCACGGACTGAACCGTCTAAAGCGATATACGGAATGCGTATCTCAAATAATTATGTATTATTTGTTTACTTCATCTTACCGTATATAGAGTACTTCGCATTTTATTATTCATTTTTAAATTCTTTCATTATTATTGTTGTTATTATATTTATTACTACTATTGGCATTATTTTTTTATACTTATTAATATTTCAATACTTCTATTTAACAAAACTGTGCTTTTTTATACAAATTTATCAATCAAATTCAATAATCTTTGAGTGGCTTCTCCAAGCTTTATACATTAAATTAAATAGCCAACTACTTCTCTTAGCTTTTCATATTTTGGTTTTTTGGACTCCAACATCCAACTTCAATAGCCATTTGTCAAACATTGGCCTTGTTTAATTGGATGTTGACTGATGGCAATTTGTGTCAGGTGTTTCGAATGTTTGTTTAGCTAGCTCATTTGACCGACAAGATGAGTTGGCTGATCGTTAAAAGTGATTGGTTTAATATACAGCTCTCAAAGAGTCTCATATTAACTAATGCGTTGAACCTATATATTTTGATTCTCAACTCTTCTTTTTCTTTACGTGTGGCCGTGTGGGGCTTCGGATTCCCAACACTATGTTCACCAAAAGTATTCCAATAACATTATTTCTTGGATATGCATATATGCATTGCCAGCATTGGTCTTCCCTACCTATGCGGCCGCTACATCCAACAGGTGGTATTGATTAATTAATGACACTAATTTAATTATAAAATATGAAAATACAATTAATTGAGTACGTGACCACAAGCTAAATTAATCATGATGAGTTATAATTAGAATAGGGTGTTAATTAGTTGTACCAAATAAATCTAGAGTAATTTACCTAAATAGGACTTAAACATAATGACTTTCTCAAAATAGGACCATATGTTTTTATTTCCGAATGTAGGACCTTTGGTCATTATTCTTTAGTCATTATTCAAGTAATGTCTATCATTGCTGGGCATTATTCCTTCCACGAAGACATTATTAAGTCCTATTTAGGAAATAAAAAAGTTTAAGTCCTAGATTAGGAAAGTCATTATGTTTTAGTCCTATTTAGTGCAAATTTCACATAAAATCTAGCTATATTAGAAGAGAAAATTTTGGATAAGGATATATACATACATATAGAGTCCCATTGAATAGGGCGCACATGGGGGGTGGATCAGCTGAATCGGTGCACAATATATCCATCCATCCATCACCCAAACTCGTACACGTACGTACTTCTTCCCCCCTTTCTTTAAAGTGTAATGCATATATAAAGTGTCCAAATCCTTATAATAATAATAATAATACACCACAACAACAAATAAATAAAAAACCCAACGAGCATTTGCATGTGTTTACCATGTGACTCTTCTGCATACTATGGCCTCCTAACACATCACATCGTTCACACCATTTCTATCTCTCCTTAATAAATCAATCTTGCGTCGTACCTCAACTAGTCGAGAGCGTTAGCATAACAAGTTGATTTGGGTTTGAATCCCGACTACGGCGAAAAGAGATGATCATAATAAGGATGAGTTTCTTGCACATATCAAGAACATATCTCACACTCGTACGTAGAACTAAATTAAGATTATAAGAGCATGTTCTTTTCAACATGTTCTTATAACTTATTATTGTTTATTCTTAATGAAATCATCTTTATAATTTGGAACAGACTAGATAAAAAACAACTTTAAATATAACAGTATTCAAATCAGATAAAGAGAACAAGCGCTAAATCAATTTAAGTCTTGCTATTCAAACAAGTACTATGAAATCTTGGGAGTGGGGTATATCATCTTTTATAATAAATATAATTAATCGTGCATTACCCACAAAGGTAGGCCACATCAGTACACGGAGGATATAATTAATCAATTCATATCTTCGGATTTTGTATAGATTTTTAATGATCATTAATTAATAAAAATAAAAGAATTGTTACCTCTTTCTACTTTTTAGGAGTTTTCATTACTTATTTTTTTAAAATATACATATGTTGTGGCAAAATTAATTCTGCCAAAAAAGTGATTAAGGGAAGGAGGGTTGCAGGGGGGTGGGGTACAAGGTGGGGGTTCAAAAGAGAGGTTATGAGGATATAATCATTAATTTTACGAATGGAGGGTCATATATTTTTAGTGTAAATTGAATGACTAATTCACAAATGCAATTTTGAGCCTTCGGTTCTTCATTTGTGCCACTAGTCAATGGTGCCATTTGATTTTTTGCAGCACCTTCGGTTCCTAATTTGTAAAATTGATGTTTTCTTTCCCCGATGATCATTTGTCATCGCCAGTGTTCATCATCAACGACTGACCGCCACAAACACAGCCTCACCCTTATCGATCCTTTCATTCTCTCAGAAAAAATTATGGACTATCAAATGTTGTCCCTTATTCTTCTTTCTCTTAAAAAATTCTTGTGCGTTATCAAAGAACTAGAAAATTGTAGCTATTTGTGTTTCTTCTAGAGTTCGAGAGAATGGAACGCGATAGAGAAGTACAAAGCGGTCTACAAAGAGAAAAAAGAAACTATTAGTCATCGCTCCAATCGCCCTTATTACCCATAGAAAAAAACTCAACAAACGTACTCTCAAGTTTGTTCGTCATGAAACGAAGACTTACCTCTCTAATTTTAGCATTATCTTCACAAAATCGCTTCCGCCGGCTCTATTCCAGTACCAGTGCTCCAAGTTGCTCCTTGTTATCGATAATCAATTTGCAACAGTTCATTAGGAATATTAGGTATAATTAAAAATAGAATACATAATATTATTATATTTTACTTTCCTTATTCTATTGTTACAATAATTGTTTATGGTACCGAAAACAAAGACCAAAGATTCAAGTTTTTAAGCAAAGATTACAAGTTGATAAAAATAAGATTGGGGTAGAGATCACTAGATTGGACAATTATGAGCTGAACTACATTAAAAGATTAAATCCTATTTATTTCTTAGTTCAACTCAAGAGCCTATATATTCATTGTTTTCTTTTTTTGTTTTCTGATGAGGGATACTCTCTAAGACTCTCGCTCTCTTTCAAGTGGACAAGTGCGCCATTTTGAATCTAAGCGTTTGACTAACTGACCACATACAAATAGAGTACACCCCCTTCTTAAGAAATGAAAGGACCAAAAGG